CAATTCTAAAGTAAACCCAGATTTTGATAACATATAAAAAGGAAATGCTAATTATGAAATTGATATATAAATTAATATATAAATTAATAATATATAAACATACCATGTTGTATATGTTCTGGTAATTTTCTCAACAGTCTATCATCATGAGAATAAAAGCTAATTTTACAAGAATCACAAGTATAACTCCAACTACGTAGTAAAAAATTTCTATTAATACCATAAATTAATCGTCCACCCCCATCTGCCCACCCTTTTGATTTAACCTTCCCATTGCAACTGTCAATGATACAAGGAATGATAGGTACATAGTGGTGATAGAATTTTTCAGGTCGCCAAAAGAAAATTGATAATAAATAGTCATCATCGGGATTTGGTGTTAAACTTCGATAAGAGTATTTTGGGGGATGATACCATTCAGAGACATGTTTAGACAGAATTTTATCTCCTTTACAAGCATCCAATATCTTTTGTGATTCAATTTCTATGATTCCTGCTTGTTTTTTGGAATATCTCTGTCTATTTCTTTGGGCCATTACTGACGCAATTAGAATTTTTTTAATATTGTGATAAATTTTATAAATTTTATAAATTTTATGAATTAGCCAATTAAAATAAATTTATGAATTAGCCAATCGAAATAAATTTATGATTCAAATCATAAATTTATTTTGATTGGCTTAAAAATCCTGGCACTCAATAATGAGCCAAAACTTCTTGTAAAATTGCAAAACTCAAATGAAACTTTGTATAGTGCTGGTCACAAGTACACATCCAATAAAAATTGCCTTTCTAAGAAATGATATTCAGCAAAATAGAAAAAACATTTTGAAAAAATAACATCATCATTTTGTTTATTTTAAGTAAAGCTATCAACTGGCGATTAGATTTTGAACATTGGTCACACAGAGCCTGAGTTATATCGGTTTAAAATTTGGGTTAATTTACTATGTTTACTATGTTTGGAAGGCCAATTTGAAACATGAAATTTGTGGCTGAAATTACCATTTTTAGCAAATAAAAATTTGATGTCACCAAAAAAAAGATTTCGCATCACGAATTAATTTTTTTTTTTTATAAATTTTTCTTTAAACATGGGAAAAGTAAAAAAAAGAGTCCAACATCTTTGTGAAATTGCACAGATCCCTAGGAAAAATACCTTTAAGAAAGGTAAGTCACTATTTTCACAAAAAAATGATTTAGTTGAGTGGAATGAAGAGTTTTATGAAGCAGAGTATCAAGAAGAATATGAAGAATCAAGAGTGGAATTAAGCTCTGATGAAAGTGATGTGATTGAATGGGTTGATGAAGAAGGTGAAGCCA